TGTGAACTTGGCAGCCTCTTTCTTGCTTGTCCAACAGGGAATTGGCTGAGTGGGGACCGGAGGTCGGAGCGGTGGAGGTAGTTCAGCCTCTGGTAGAAGTCGATACATCCTCTGGAGCCTCGAATCATGAACTCTGTCCAGACCAAGTCTGGTTTTGTTGCATGTCTTTAGTCCAAGGCGGTGAAACATCCCGAATGAATGCTGAGACTGCAAAATACTCTGCACGTTAGTTGATAAATAACACCCACTAACCCAAATCGGCTCCGTCTACACTAAAAACTAAAAAGGCTTATGCCAGTCCTTTTGGCAGGGCAGAGACGCGACGGATTGATTGTACTGTAATCGCCGAGCTGAATGACTGAATTGATTGGTGCTTTTTAAAAACTGCTTGACGTCGTGCTGGCGCACAGCACTACCAAGGTGCTACAGTGTCAAGTTTGCAGTGGGGCTATGGCAGGGGTTTAGCGTGTAAAATAAGACGCCTTAGGCATAGTCACCTTCCATATTGGGGTTAGCCCACGTATTTGTGCAATTTTTCGATGAAGTTTTGTATGGCAACTTTTTTCTAGACGCCCTAGTTTGCAGTGGTTCTTTCTCTCTTACTAAACCTAATTAGTATAATGATCGGCTACATAACATCTGTGCATTTTTGTTACTCGACTTTATAAATTATTTACAAGAGTTCAAAGGTTTTCGATTTTCGGAATCCTGGGATCCGAAGAAGAAGTTTGAGGGTACAGCAACCCTCGGTGAAGTCTACAAAAAGCTTCAATAAATATAGCAGGATACCAGCTGAATTCAGGGTATCTGCGAACTAATCCTTCGCTCTCAGGGGGGATAAGAAAAAGTCACGTGGAAGATGTGGCAGGAAAGGGAACGGGCAAGAAGCGCGGGATCCTGACCAACCAGTATATCTTCGAAACTTGATTTCAGTTTTTGATTTACGTTTTTGATTTTAGTTTTGCTGTTAACTTCTACTATTTCGGTAGAAGTTCATGCGGTTGGAATAAGTTCGGCCTGTGGAGGGCAAGGCTCAACACCTATACGTGGTGTCCTCTACGAACCTGAGAGTGAAATATTCTCCCAGAGCCAAGTTCAGTCAAATTTCGCAATATCAAAGAAGTTGGCCCACAAGGCAAAATTTCGAATTACTCCACCATGTCAATCTTTCACTCCCAAAGAGTCCGATTCTCAATTAAGCTTCATCAAGTCTACAAGTACGACATAGTACATCTTCGTTTCAATGACCACACCTCTCGTCGACTTTCTCTGGCCTCAGCTGTCACCAGATATACGCCCACGCCGATATTTATACCCGACGGAGGAAGCAAAGCGTGGAGCACAAATCTGAGAGATAGCTCTTTGGGATGGACGTGAGAGGGATCAGGACAAGTTTACAAGATGATGCGGAAGAGGGTTACGTTTTCGACAGGTGTGAAATTTCGAATTTTGGCATAGAGTTTTACGAATTGAGCTTTGTGCGCGCCAAGAATTGGCTTGCGAGAGTGCAGCTCACACTATAAAAACAAGCAGACGATGGAAGGTGTAGTGATCCGCCTCCTAGTGATGTTCTCTGGTATGGTTTGAGTAGCCTGGGCACCTACTCCACTTGGGAAGGAGACACCTCAGATCACACATCGCGCGGAGAAAAGTTGAAAGATGATGGAGGCATGTCTGGATAACTCAGGGTTTTTGAGACGTTCCCCTGGGTGGGTATTCACGGATGAAGGTTGACTTGGGGTGAAGAAAAAGCCACCATAACTTTGCAGTGGTACTTGAAAATGAAATCTGAGGCATGAGTACTCTTCCTTTACGTTGAATCATCTATTCTGTACTTTTCTTTGATATTTTGTCATAGCTAGATAGATGCAAACGCAATTAAAATCTGGTGCAAAAAAAAAAAAAGAGTTGGGCTTGTACGCAGTGATTCTTGCCGGCTCCACCGGTCCTTGACCCAATGTGGAAAAGATAGCGTTAGCTTAGGACCAAAAGTAATTAAAAAAAAAAAAGGGTTTCGGTTTATAAGATAGAGCCACAGTCTTATCTTAACCTTGGATCTGAACATGTGGCTGAAATATTCTCAAGCCTTAATACCTGGTTGGTCTCCCTTCCTCTTCCATCACAGCCTGATATCTAGCTGGCATACTCTGAATAAGTTCCACAAGATCTTCGGAAGACTCGGAGTCCCATGCCTCCTTTACGATCTTGCGAAGATTATATTGAGTTCGCTAGTTTCCGCCACCCAGATTAAGATGATGACACTGGATGTAATCCTTCATACTATTCCAAAGAGCTTCAATTGGGTTTAGATCAGGCGAGTTGGCCGGCAAGAAAATCGGTTGAATGAGCCTTTGCCTCATATCTTACATTGTACTTGCTGCCGTGCGGGCAGGAGCATTATCCTGCACTACGGAAAGCCAAGGTCTCATCGAGACCATGCCATTAACAAGAGGAACTATCTTCTCGCAATATTTTTGGGAGTTAATAGACCCCCACTCCCTCTCCCAAAATAAATAGGGGCCTTTTTCTGGCCCTGCAAAGCAACCCGTGAACACCCAGCTGACCCTATTCTTTAATTTTTCTCCAACAAAATCAGCGTTGTATTCTTGGAAAGTCTAGCTTGTAATGTTAGAGCATCAAATTACTATCTTCTTATAGAGGGATGTAAGAACATTTCTTGTCGCCCATTCTCTAGATTGTCTTCCATCCTCTACCCAAGTCTCGTCTATCCATAAAACTGACGTCCAGTCTTCATGGTTTTTTAAGATACTGGAGGCTTTAGATGAGCTACATGTCATTGATATCCTCTTTTTATAAGTTCTCTTGGTATTACTTGCTCGCTAACACCAATTGTGTCCAAAGGGGCTAGAGGCGAGTTCTGTAAATTTTTGCGACGATTTTCAGGTGGAGACTCAACGTAAGATATAATCTGATTAACATCTGCTTTCAGTCTTGAGAATGTTTTTTTTCTCTTTTTGGGGGAAACAGTTCCGCGGCGCAGTGAATAACTAACTTGTCCCCGAGAAATGCCTAGTTGCATGGCAATCTGCGTCTGGTTTTTGCCAGATTCATGAAGCCCATAAATCTTAATTTTTATTTTAATTTATATTTATTCATATCTAATTTCTCTACTTACTTCAATGTTTTGATCTCTGGATAATTGTTTGATTCGAGGTGTTGAAGGTGGGGTTTGAGGTGGATTCATCTGCAAAATAAGGTTAGTATCGAGTAAAGCCATGTGTCTTCTGAATAAATAATTTTGTAGTTGAGAAATCTAATTCTTATTGTAACTCAAGCACAAGCTGGGAAGAGCTGTGTAATTATTTAGCGGTCGGTGCTCATCAAAGCAATGGGAAAGAACTAGAGAGCGGGTGGGACTTGCATAAATTGATGGTGACATAAAATCAAATTATGCCCTTAGTTTAGGCCTCGAAATCCAGGACAGATATTGAGTACCCTGTCGAAAAATGCGCTAACAGGGGTATTTGCCCTGAAGCGAATATACGCGCCAATTAAATCCACTGAAGACTTGAAATCGTGACACAATAGTATTCGACGTGCCAGCGCCCGAAGAGAGCTCAGCATAGGTAAAAAATGGAGTCCATCCATTACTCAGCGCCTTGGAAATATGAGGATAATTTAAATGATTGACTGGCTCTGCTAGTCTAGTAGATGATAGCCTCGCAATCAGTTGCTAAGCTTCTACGGCCGAACGTCCCTCCCATTTCGCTCGCAGGATGGACTGGCTGATGCTGAGCCAATGCGCAGATACGCAGGGAATGAAATATCACATGACGCCTGCGGATGATATTCGGGGTTTCGCTCGACAACGACGATTTGCTATCCATCACGATGAAATCCCAGCGCCCACCCCGCCATCGCTCACACGCCCGGCGCGATGCTAGCGAAGAGCCGGCGGAGATACTTGATGAGCAAGGTGAGCAGACGGCCCCCACGTCCTCGCCGACGCGCCTTCACTAACGCTTAGTGCAGAGCAGGAGGCTCTTATCGCCGCCCTACAGCGTCAGCATCTTGCCCAGAATCGACGGGCTGCACGCGCACTCAGCGTCGTGCCACTTCTCAGTCTTATAGCCTACATCCCCACACTAGTGGTGCGCGCCACGGCCTGGCTCTCGCTCCTCGCCATCTCTTCGCTCCTTGCGACGGCCTATTTGCTGCTGGCCCTCCCTTTCGACCATCCCACTGGCCTCTCCATGCTCACACCTTCCCTACGCCCACGCCCGCGCTCGTCTCGCTCGCCACGCCCGCCCTACCTCGGACCCGTCTTGCAGCATTTGCCCGCCCTCAACCTCGGCCTTGTCCTTATCCTCGCTGTCGCTGGGAGTCTAGCACGTCGACGCGTCCCCAGTATCTGGCTTGGATTTGGCTGGCTACCAGCCGCCATCTACGCATTCGTAGCCCTCTTTCTTTGTATCATGGGGAGTGTTAATCCCGAGAAAGAACTAAACCGTCTCCGCTACCAGTGCAAGGGAGCGTAAAGCTTCTATACTGCTGTATATCATCCAGCACCATGTGGGTCCAAATAATTTTTTTTAGCAAACTATAATGGAATCAAGATTAATTTAAACTCTTTATCTACGATGAATGATCATGAATTTCGTGAGCCCTCAGGTTATGGAGTAACTCGCCATGTCAGTCACTTCTTGAGGTGTCATAAGGAGGCGATTCTAACGAGCCTCGTCATGCTCATTCCAACGTCACTCCTCAGCTTTGGAGATCTGTGCGTGAGAGAGCTGTTCTGATCCACAAGATCTCCAAATCAGCTTTTATTACCTCGGAATAGTAAAAGCGTGTTAGTTAACCTCAACTTCAGCTGAATTGAACTGCCGATAGAGACCCCCTCCTGGCAACAATTAGCCATTGATAAGTGACCATATTAGACAGGTGGTCGCGAGTGTACGGGATAAATTTTAACCCTTCTATGCACATGATTTAGATTAAAAATCATGAGATCTGGCTCATAAATGGACTTATAACGCCTAAATATCAACAGTCTCCAGGAATCGTAATACACCATTTCTCCTCAGCACGCCATCAACCCCTTCAAGTGCACAGGAAACTAAGTCGTTATTTCTATCTAAGCTTCCCGGTCCTGCAAGCTCATCTGTAACAAGCACCAGGCCTTGGATTTTAATCGATTCCACCAGAGCGGGTACTAACTCCTATTAATAGTCAGCGGGCGTTTTTGATAGAGGTGAGAAGAAATACAAGTAGTCTCGAGTTACAACATAGTCCCATAAAATTATTTTCCTTTGCTATCTTCGCCGCTTCTTTGATGCTCAAAGTTTCACCTTCGCGAGCCCTGTCCCAGGGCAAGCTTCCAGTTGTACTATTACGATCAAGGTCGTTACAAAGAAAAACCGGATAGTTGGGCTGCTTCCAATTCAGCGCGGTACAGATTGTGGCGTTGTGCGATGAAAATACTATCGAGCGCATAGCATCGGGGAAACGTTCTCGTAGAACACGAGCGTGATCAAATACTATGGAAAGAATAGCATCACTGAAGACATTAATATTCAGAGTAGGGCCAAGATGCAGCTTTTTTTCCTCGACCCGGGAAGGATATAAGATCTGTATATTAACGTTGATCCCTTTGGGCAGCAGTTCTAGCATATCTTTGAGAGAAATTGCGTTTCTCGAAAGAATTTGATGGATCTCTGCAAGATTTTCAATCGATTGACTAGGCAGGTTGAGTAAATCCTGCTTTCTTTCCACTAACAGCGATCCTGCTGCAATAAATTGATCATAGGTCAAGCGGCTGATAGGAATCTCAATGTCAAAGTACTTTAGGGTCCACCGTGGCCACAACACTGGTACTCCGTCACACGTGTGCTGTACAAGTACCTGAATATACTCTCCCGATAGACTCGAGTCTGTAATAAATGCACAAGGCCGATGTCCCAACTGGCTTGTCGCCTTCCAATAGGTTTCAAAATCCGTCATTTCCAAAGGCTTCCCTTGGAAAGGCTTAATCACTTGAAATTTAAAGGAAATTTGCCCGATGGCTCTCAGACGCAAATCGAAAAGTGGAAGACAACATTGACCCAAACCCGACTCGAAGCTATGGAAAATATTAGGCAGAGCCACCGTTTTAGCGATTATTTTTGCACCGTAGGTGGGAAAGACGTCAAAGTCAATGGCGAAGGAATCCAAATTATCAACCTGAAATAAAACAAGCTTTGTATCTTCTTGAAGTGGCAGTAGTAGGTTCTTCGGGATTAGGTCTGAAATCTTAGATGAAATGGTTAGACGAGCACTCGGATACTTGCTGTCTTGGAAAAACCTGATGGGCTGGCAGCCGTCCTCGTCAAACCTTATCTGGATGAGGGTTTTAGTATCCAAGAAGCTGTGACCATATCTGCGGAAGGGTATTATAGGAGGAGGTAGTTCAAGTTTAGGAATCGCGTCGATATCTTGCTTCTCTTTATCCAGGACATTGTTACTCTGTAGGATAGACTTATGTCGAGTTTTTTTGGCAGGATCCCGAGAGTTCCGGGAGTCTTCTATGTTGAGAGAAATCAGTTGCATGCATTCTAAGTATCCTTCCCACGCCGCATAGTACATTGCCGAAAGCCCTTTCTCATCTAGAATATCGACCTGAACTCCAAAGTTCAACAGAATGCGTATGCAGGATACATTTCCTTCGCTCGCGGCATGAAATAGGGGAGTCCACAAATACAGCTTGTCAAGTTGATCTAAATCCGCGCCATAATCTTTCAATAGTAGGAGCAATTGCGGTGTTTGGCCCGAACGAGCAACCAAGTGCTGAGGATAAAGGCCTTCAGCATCGGGAAGAATCTTGGCATGATGTTTAAGAAGTAGCTCTACAATACTAACGGAGCCATATTCACAGGCTAGATTAAGAGGAACATGATCTGCATTAGAAGTAGGATCAATCCTAGCAGATCGAGCTAGTAGCCGCTCGGCGCAATCAAGATGATTGTGTTTAATCGTATGAATTAGGGGAGTGAAATTGTCGTGATCAATCAAATCGATAGTTGAGGGATCAGCTAAAAGTGTTAGTTCTGTGCCGTTTGGATAAAGACTATGCTTACCATGTATTAAGGCCTCAACCATCTCAAGGCGACCATGCATGGAGGCATAATGTAAAGGAATTCGACCATACACGTCTGTGCTATTTACAGCAACCCCTTCCGCTAGGCCAACCTTAAGAACGAAAGCATTACCGTATAAGGTAGCTTGATGGAGACAATTTCTTTCATTGATCTCATCTTTCGATTTAAGATCCACAAAACCAGTATCGAGCAAGAGCTGCAGTGATTTTTGAGGTCCTTCATTTGTAGCGGCGAGAAAAGTTCGGGTAATTCGCTCAAGAAGTATTGTGTTTCCAGAGCCACCTTGGCTAGCCGAGGTTTTTAATCGCAGCAATAGATCCTTAAGGAACTCAATATTGCCCGAATTTACAGCTTCTAAAAGCAATGTATCTGCGTCACCCTCGTCCGTCCCCAACAGGTGCTGACTGCTAACAATATGATCGTTATTTCTCTCAAAGTTAATCTGATCTCCTTCAGACCAAGCACTTAACTCCTGTAAACTAGTGGCGGCCTGATCAGATAACTCGCTTATTAAGGTTGCATTGAAGAATGGTTGGACTTCAACAGCTCTCGCAAGGTATAATTCTTTAGTCTTTGACTTTGATGTTTTATCCCATTTCTTCAGGATTTTGGAAAAGGCCGTACCGTTAATCTCAACAAATTGCTGAAGTTTGTTCAAATCGTTTCCAAACTGCTGAAAGCCCTCCTCTAAAGTTGTAAATTTTGTCGAGCGTCTTAGGATAGCTTGCCCCCGCGACCGGAGTGATTTTTTCTTATCCAAAAGGGTCTTGAGGCGAATCTTGAGCTAGTTTGGGTCAATCAACTGTCATAGCCACACTAACTTCAGTCGACCAACCTCAGCTTCCTTTTGTACGTAAATAGCGTTGACTTTCTCGAGTTCTCTCTCCTTTTACACCTTTAGATATTTGAATCGATTCACTCCTCAGTTACCAGCTTACCAATTGAAAAAAGAAGGTGGCCTTGTTTGCTTGTAAAGCCGCTTGCGAATCATCGATGCCTGAATGGCGCGATGCATCGTTGAGAGATGCGAGAATAGGCGTCGCCGAAAGTTTGCGTATTAGCTAGCAAGGCATCTGTTAACTCTACTCAACTACTAAATAGATATACCGGTCCCTTAGTTGCGCGACTATGTCGGCCGTCTGCGCCCCACGAGATCTCATTAACGGGGGGTAGTGAGGGGTACGACCAACCTTTTTCAGAGCTTTGTAATTTACGAAGCTTGCTGCATATTCAGGCACTTCTAGCTGCCGCTTCTGAATCTGCTTGCCAAACTTCCTAGATTTATCGATCCAGAGTCAGTATTGGAGTAGTGGTCAACACTTCACCAGGCGCATTGCAAAGAGAGAGGGGACACACATCTTGCGGCCTTGACAACGCGTCTATTCCAAAAATTAATTAGAGGGGGAAGGCAATGAAGCGTAGCAAGATAGCCTATAGAAAGAGATTGCTCATTGTCGATGATCCAAGAGGTGTAGGGGCGTTAGAGGGAACCACCACGTCGCTCACAGCCCGTTTGCTTGAAAGCCAGTCCTTGTCATGTGTAGTGCTGCTGATTTTTTCGATAATTCGTAATCTAACCATCATTCTCAGTTCAATAGTTGTACAACATCTCGGGTCTAGTGATGCTATCTCACGCACGACATGTACGCTTACATGCAGAAACTCTCACGTGTTGCTTCTGATGGAACAACGCTTCTCCGTGATATTATTGACAAGGATGAAAGATCAACTGGGAAATGTAGGCACTTGATGGTTCTCAGAATCATTAACAATAAATGATCCGTTGTATTAGCTGATTACATACCAAAATCCACTTTGGATAGTATTGTTACTAATTAGCTCATATGATCGGTACTTCAAACCATTTTCCTACGTTAGCGATGCCTCTTGGGCAGCCGTTTCTATCATAGCTACGTCTAGATCACTGCTACTAAATTCTGCACTGATTTAAGTACCTGTGAACAATAGCAGCTCCTCGCAAATTCCCACTTGAAGCTGTGAGCGCTGTCACCCTGGCTAGGCCCAGCTACCTTCCGCGCGCCTCATGAGATAATTGGACTCATGTCACGAGGCTGCGTCTGCAGGCTGTTCAGACTTCGTAGGGCTACTTAACATGATTTTTTTAGTTGCTTCACAAGGAAGTTTTAGATCTTCGCTGTTTTCAACGTTGTTAACTTTTCCCCTGACAGCAATGCGCTCCTTGACTTCTTTTTCATCCTCACTATCCCCCAGGCTGAAGGGATCGTTATCTGTTTCACCGACAACTTTAGATTTGGCACTGGATAGAGGTTGCCATTTACTTTGCTTAATAGGAGCAGAATTTATGGTAGGTTTTGGGGAGGCATTGTAAATGTCCTTTTCGCTTGAAATGGTGCCTTGATCTGAAATTGCTCGATTGTTAGACACTTTTGCTATCGCTGGTTGAGGCTCAAATAACATTTGGTCAGCGATACGGTCGGTAATAGGACGAGCAAGAGCTGTTTAATATTAAGTCTCGCACGTCAAAGGTGAGTCTGAGTGCTTACTTCCGTCAGAATTCATTTGAATTCCAGCAAAATCATCTCCAAGTACTTGGGGATCAGCGTCATAGCGATTGTAATCACCACTTCGCCTTACATCCTCGTTGCTTCGGCGCGGCCGATAAGAGGCTCCGTAGTCATGAGGCATATTATCTTCCTCATCTTCGCCATCAATTTTCTTTTTCAGTGTTGTAATCCAGCTATTTACCTTACTCTGAGTTTCGAGAAACCCTTTTTTCAAATGGTCCTTGATTATAGGAAGGTCATCTTCAATAAAACTCCATTCTTCATGTGTATCGTTTCGCAAGCTATTTGTCCCTCGCGTCCGATCGCTTTGACCGTTCTCTTGCGCTTGGTCCGTAAATTCTCGTCTAGCAATGCCCTCGTATTGTTCGGCCAATTGGCGAGCATATCGTTCGTCAGATTCGAGCTGTGACTGTGGCGTAGAACCGATTATTTGAGTTGGACGAGAAAGTTGTGGAGGTGGGCTTGGTTCCCTAGCTGCTTCAGGATCTGACATGCCTGATTATGTGTCAGCTAATACCCTCTGTTTAGTTCTCTGTAACTAACCAAGCAGAGCATTAAACGCAGGCTCAATTTGACCGCCGCTAGCCCGTAGAATTGCTTTTACCACAGATGCATCTATGCTAGGAAATGCTTCTTTAAGTGTATTTTCTGCAACCTGCAGTGGATTGAGAGGCCTTGGTGGTTTTGCCGGAGGCTCTTCGGTCGGCTCATGTTTGCTTGGAGCAGGAGATTCCCCTTCCATCGGGCTTGGTACAAAGGTCTCATCATCATCAAGCTCAAAAGGTCGTGCAGTAGTGGGCGATTCAGCTCCTGTTGGAGTCTTCATCTAAAAACTTGCTGTCAGATATATTGAGCTAGGGCTGGCAACTTAATTGCCAGCAGTATGATGACCTACTGGACCGTCCAGCATTTGTAAAGGTTTCTGTGGCGTATTCATTTTAGCTATTTAGTGTAGCTAAGTTAGAAATATTTTTAAGAGGATGATATTTCGTATAGTAACATGAAGTATTCAGAACTGAAAGCCATCAGAGTGGTCCGCATATACAATACGATCTGCCAAACTCAAGGCGGTGAGGTTATGATTCGCGAGCTATGACGAGTGGGGGACTCCTAGGTCATGGAGGGACTTCAGCCTCAGCCAATTATTAATAAGCGACCTTCTCCTTGTGTCGAAACAATGGTCCTATCCACTTCCGAAAATCCAAACACCCATGAAAGCTATATTTGAGACAAACAATGTTTAGCACTATCTAGCAGAATTCTAGTGTTTTAGATGTACCAGCAGCAGTCTACGATTCCACAATTGCGTTAGTGGGCTTTCATTCAACAATAGGGGAGAGCACTTCCAAAGATAGGGGGGATAACGAAGTAATTGGGATAATTTAACACTGTTTTCACTCTACATTTAAATAAAGGGATCACACATCGTCTGCTTGTCTGGGATTCACTTTAGTGTTCTCATAATGGAATGAGTAACGTATTATTCATACGAATTGACATAATTATTAATATTTAAGTTCTATCTCATGCCGCAAACTCTTTTTTTGATCATCTCGTGTATATGGGGTTAACGTGTCGTGATGTCTCGACCATGGGGTTGGCAAAGATGGTGATGGATATACCGGTGTTCCTAGATGACATCTCTGAATGAAATTGATAGTATTGTTACAAGTCTTCAGCTTTCCTAACATATCGGATACTGCACCTATTCAGGGTGTGAGTGTTGTGCTATTTTTGAACTTGACACAAATGCAACTGATGACATCACCTAAAAACAGTAAATGTCTGGGTAAATAAGGGTTTCCATAGCAAGGACTGAAATAATAATGTGTCAAAGTCACTGGCGGTTTAAATTATGACATTTTCTTTCCCTGATGGTACATTAAGTATACAGAAAGAGATCTGAGGAATGGCGTAGTTTTCGAGAAATTTATTCCATACATCATTATAGATAGCATTTATCTTTCGCTACGAAAAATGCTCTTATTGAGCTCTAATCGCTTCAGCTGCCTAGTATATCTTCTATCTCTCTTTTTAGAAAATATGCTTTCATCGGAAGCCGATATTTGTAAGTGATTTTGGCTCTACCACCGATAAATATCATAGACCACTCGTCAACTGAATTATCGGCCGGGAATCGTGTAAGATTTTCGATACAACTGTATTTCCGTTCTGGAATTAAAAGCTAAAACGCAGATAGAGCCATATCGTTGGTTAATTTTTGTCACTGTAATACTGTGATAAAATTCTTAGTCGATGTTGTACAAGATTTTGTCTAGTCTTTATGGCTCCACAAAGTTTTTCCTCTACCCAGTCCATGTTCTCGTCAAGCAACAGGTGTGAATATGCAAAAACAGACGCGTCGAATAATGTCGGTTTGTCTTTGCCAAAGAACCACATGTTATCGCCTAGAAGGGTGGAGAGGGCCTCAAATGCCTTGTCGGCCTCGCTATATAGGTCATTAACGTCTATAATTGAGGAATGCTTCAGTAATTCTAATTCGGCAGCAGCTTGCAGCTGACGTGAAATAGAGGACCGGACTAGTAGATTAGAAGATACAGGCGATACATAACGCGGATATGCTACCCGATCAAAGTTTGACGGCTCAAGATAGAGGAAGCAGAGCTATTTCAGATTAGTAAATTTTCGACAAAGGCTAGCAATCTCAACTAACCCACGCATCTCTAACACGGTAATCTAGTAGAGAAAGATATGCTTCTTTGCGCACACTTTTAAATTCTTCTTGTACACAGCCATGCTCTTTGGCGTATTTGAGTATTTTATTAGCTACCACAGGCTCTCGTCCCCCTGGTGAACTAACATCGTTGTGCACACCCGGGAGAAGGAATGGAAGCGCACCCGATGGTGATGCATGATTATTCGACGGTATAAGTTCATGTTGAATCCCTGCCATCTTCAAAAACGTCTATGTCACGTCAACTCCAGCTTCGATTTTCATCTCCACCGCACACTGACTTGCCATTTCAGACAGCCCGGATTGAACGATGGTCGACCCGCAATCGCATCCGGGGCGGTAGTATACACGAAAAGAAGTGGGGTCTGAGAATACCTGGAAGGCCCTGAAGGGAGCCGATTGGGAGGATACAAGATAATTGGGACTTTATCAAATAGACTCCTGATCGGGCCTGGGATCGAGAAGAATCTAGTGGCACTTGGGGCGCCTTTGGTCAATCCATCCGCAGTCTTTTCATCTTCGTTCCCTAAATTAGCTTGCGCCATGTGGATATTTGATAGGCCAATTCTGAAGGGAGGGCTGCTGTTTGCTTTGGGGACGTGGCGAAATTTCTTAGCGCGATGACATTTTGCAAAAGCTGGACGGCCGAAACGTCCATGCGCTAAGCTTGGTTTGGATCGGGGTGGGTAACAGATAGTCAGAATTGGAACGTACTGTAGCCGTGGAACGGACTAAGTTGAGTATTAAGACCACGGCAGTTAGCGAAAATATTTGAGAAATTTATTCTTCTATTTCGGATCAGACAGACTCGTGTCCACCGATGTTTGGCTTTGAGAATGAGCTGTTTACGGATGTGTAGTTGCAGTTACTCAGACATCCATCACCCTTGTCGCTAACACAATTCTGAATGTCTACTAAGCAGGGGTGGGGGTCATAGGACGGCACCCCTAACTAACGGGTATGACGTCTCTCACAAATTTTAATTCCTAGATAACATCGTTTGGGAGAAGACTCAGAGTGTATGGATTGTATAACCACGAACCTCTAGTTCTTACCGAGGTTGAGCAGAGTCTAAAGTAAGTCATACACTAGCATGCAGATCTCCTATTGCCATTTAGCCTACGGAACTGCCTAATTGCAGGGACACCGCAATGAAGTTGGACAAGGCTAACCTACAGAATAATCTAACAATGAATACTTTTCAAATATATTAAATTAATCTTCTACTTATCCTAACACTTTATCCTTATTTTCTAGCCTAGCTCTTTTCATGCCTTCAAACAAATGTAAGATTTTGTTGTAATTTTAAATGTTCTTACTAGGACTTAATGCTGTAGATTAGCCTCGCTATACCTTTGTAGTGTCCTTGTTGGAAGGGAATTTCGTGAGCTAAATGTCAATAGGGGATCTGCAATACTGCCTCAAGATCCGCCTTCATATCGACCCCAAATACTAACAAATATCATCTTAATCTACTATCTACGACTTAGTACCGTAGTCACTCAAGATGTGGCCTGGGTCAGAGAGGAACCCAATGTGCTAGATAGTCTATTACTCAAGTAGTACAATAAACAAACACAAACAAACCGTGGTTACTATCAACATCGGGGGGACTATTCTCAAAACCTGTCAGCGGTGTCCCCTACGAACCTCCAGCTCTCACTGTAGAGTCTGCAGAGCCGAGGTTGAGTAACTAAGTCCTCACTCCGACGAAGATTCCCAATTGCTTTCGCGGCCTGTATCGTCTTCATCTCTCAACACATTCCCCTATCACCATTATCATGAAGCTAACCACGATCAGATCAGATGGTACGGTCGGAGCCCTACTCATCACCAACCCTTGATCATGGAGGAAAAGCCATCCGATGAGTTTCCGGAGCGTACCCAGCACCCGATACGGAGATGGTGGATTGGATCAAGTCGGCCTCGACTGTTATAAAGAAGGGAGATATAGATGAATATGTGCACCTCATGTGGTCTCGGTGTCTAGGCCTCGCCTGACTGGGGCTGCAGATTTTTTGAGACCTTTCATTCATCTTTTTTGGGTAGAAGGTTCGATGGAAAAGGTGGCCGAATTCCGCAGGTAAACACTGAGCTGAATGGCTATTCATTATGGGCAATATATCAATGATCTTTCAAGTAATAAAAATGGAGAGTAGCACTGTATAAGGTGTGGACTGGATCAGAGGAGCCCAATGTGCTGGGTAGTCTATGACTCAAGTAGTACAAAAAACACATACACACAATTTTTTGAAAATTGAAAATTGAAATTGCCAAATTTCCCCTTCTCACTCCCTCTCTCGATATCGTGATATCGTTCGCTCTCAATTCAAAATTTGCGAGCGACTAGTGGGCTACCAGTATGCCTCCAGTTCGTAGTAAGCCATCGCGGGCGAAAGACATCGTAGATAACCGCAAGCACCTCAAACACGTTCCTCGACAGAAAGCAAGCGACAAGATGGGTCCACTGACTGCCGTTCAAGAGATGAACATCGACCAATTAATCGACAAAAGTACCATGGATTACGAGATTATAGATGTTAGCAGCTTTGATATTGACAAGTTTCTTTAGAATCTGAAAAGACTACCCAACTCAATTCACCTCAAGCCAGACGCGTCTGGAGCTGAAAGTGCAGCGATGAGCCACAAAAATCTGGGGACAGCGACTACCGGGTGGCATACACTGCTTCTTATTGAAGTCGCTGTGCCGGCTATGAGGTGGGCAGTGTTTAGACTTAATATATACATTATGATTACGGGGTAAATAATATATGGGTCACATATTTACCTGACTGTTAGTGGTTACCAGTTGGGCAGGAAGTCTGCGTGACGTGTTGTGTTTTGGAAGATCAAGGTCATGTAATGGTGGCCTTCGAATATTAAACAGGAGGCGGGAAGACAGATGACTCGCTCCGTTCAGGACACGAGTAAAGGACACGAGTAGATGATATTAGTATTGGCTCTACAGAGCTGGATCACTCGTGGACTATGAATGGTGTATAAATGACTGGATATGTGTATTGTAATTTTGTTAAGTCTTTATTAGTATAACAATTGTTATTTTATTCCAACAGGCAGCAATTGCAGATGTTAACAAGGAAAAAGGTGCAGCATCTACCCCAAACCCCCTAGAACATACACCAGGGATTACAGAAGAGAATCCTTCTCCTCATAGTGGAAATGAAGGCAGGCAGACGGAGGAATGCCCCCCCGAACTCAGAGCCTTAATTGAGGCTGAGGAACGCCGGGCCGCAAAAACTGCGGAAAATGTAAAAATTTGCACCGCTGCAGTAAACGGTGTCGAGCATGCTCTCTCCCCTCTATCCAATGGGTCGAGTGTTCAATTTATAGACTCTATGAAAGTCTACATTAGAGCTGCAATAGCTCAATTCATGATCGCGGGACCAGGTACAGTCCTCCCATCACTTCCCCCACGCCCCGAAAGCCAGGCTTCTAGTTGCAAGACCGCAGAATATGCTGCTGGTAAGCAAATTGAGCCACAACGCGAAGCAGCTCAAGCCGAAGTGCGCCAGGCCAAAACCACTTGGGCCTCGATCACCCGTCATGGTCTACAGATGCTCCCAGCACCTACAAAAGCCGCGCAGACAATGACCAAGGCAGCAAACTCGACTCGAACGGCCCAAAATTCAACCGGGCCAACAAAACCGGCCGTGCACGATGGACGTTTGTTTCTTCGCCTCGAAAAAGAACATCCCTGGCGAACACTCTCACCTTTCGGTGTTAGAGAAGCAATTGTGTAAATGCTCGAAATCCCCCAAACAAAAATTGAGCATGTCTACCGTGTGCCAACTGGCTTCGCAATCAGAGCCAAAAACCAAGAGACACGCGCGCTGATGCTTAGCCTAGCTGGATCCTTCGCCCAGCAGGATGCGATATTGGAGAAAGCTTCGGACTTGGCTTCCCTTAGAATAGCGACGGTCCCAGTCGCAATTAACACAATAATGGGCAGAGTTATCGTCACTGAAGGGATGGTAATAGACGAGATTAACAGGGTCACCAAGGCTGTTCCGGTAAAAGTTCGCCCACACAGGAAAAGCCGACCGGGCGCCCCATACCAGTCATGGGTAGCCCTTTTTGAAAAAGCATCAATTCCTCGGCCAGGTTTCCGACTTTTCGACGACTCTAGGATTGCAGTCCGCCACCAGCCTCGTCAAAGCATCAACCAGTGCAAACGATGCCTACAATTCCACGGCGCCAGGGGCTGCTCGCGTGCCCCAGCCTGCTGGAATTGTACTTCAACTATGCATTCCATTGCGGAGTGCAAGGCACACACCAAGTGCCGCAACTGCAGAGGTCCACACAGGTCAGATAGTCGGGACTGTCTAGCTTGTCCAACAAAGTCTGGGATGGCCTCCAGGGAAAAGCTTCAGACCATCAGGCAGGCTAGCCAACGCGAATTCGCAGCAGTCACTCGGGCCAAAGCAGCTGTCAGACGCGCAGAGGCAGCGATGACAGCAGCCGCAGAAGCGTCAAATACTAACCAGCCAGGTTTCAAATCGAGCAACTGTTTTGAAGTTCTCATGTCCGACGCTATAGCGACTGTAGCCGAGGTCGATGAGGCATCAAATCAGCAAAAATCTTTGTGAAAGTCACCCCACAGGTCTCTTCGAGCCTCTCTCCTACTCTAAGCTTTATGTCAATAAACGTAGGTAGAGGGGGCTCAACACAAAACATTGCGCTTGCCCGAGCATTTGAGCTGGGTATCGACGTGGTTCTTGTTCAAGAACCTCTGTGAAACAAACAAAAGAACACAACAAAGGATCACCCTGGATATACCTATCATCTGCCTAACAGCGGCGAAAATGTAAGGCCGAGGGCTGTGACCTATACCCGGATAGACGATAAAAAGATAATTGCAACACAGCTCTTTCCTCATGTTGTGTCTACAGGAGACTACTGCTGGGTTGAAGTGAACGGCATTACTTTTCTCAACGTCTACAAGGCACCCAATGGCTCGACAGCTATACGGCCTCTCATCAACTGGATTCCACCGCCAAACTCCGCCGCTGCTGGGGACTTTAACTCGATATATTGGGCTTGGCAACCTGGCGTGGAACGTCCTCATGGACAAGGAGAAATGATCAAGAAATGGGCAGACAAACACAATTTGACCTGTCATATTAGTGGAGAACCCACTCACCGAGCTGGGAACACGCTAGATCTAGTTTGGAGTAATATCAACGGCGCCCGTGTTTGGGTAGATCGTGGTGAATGTGTCACCAGCAATCACTTCCCTATCCGAGGACAAATTCCAGTTTGCAACTCAGTGATGAGACCCGAAAAGGCAAAACTCCGAGTAACAAAGGAATAGCTACCCAGATACGCCAAGGTAATTGCACAGTGGGTCCGACCACCACCAGTTCTTGACACAATCAAGAGGGTTGAAGAGTATGCCGAGGAAATTTGTTTCCATCTCACTAATGCAATCAATGCAGTAGGAACACGACCAAAAGCCCGCTGCGGCAGATCTGTCCCGTGGTGGACCCCAGAGTGCAAGGCAGCCTTTGCCAAGTACAAAAGCGCG